AAGAGGCCAGAAGGAGAGCCTCTTAGAAAGATGTGCTTCTAATGAAATGCCTTATTATAGATACTCATGCATTTACTGAACCAGAGGGAATGCCTGAGTGAAATTTCATGTATTATGACAAAGGAAGAGAGACATTGTTTACATATTCCAGAATTTTGCGACAACAATGCATCCCTGAGCCTAGAGCATAAGACAAATACACTAGACCAGTGGTTCTCAGCCATGGATGTGTCGGGGTCCCCTTGGGGACTGGTGGAAGTGATGGGGACACCTTGCAGCGGAGGGGAGGGAGGGGGGGAGGGGGGGGTACGTAAGTGAATTATCATGACTGGAGCGTGAAACAGGTGCCTTTTACTGCTACGAAAAACATTAAACAAACGGGCCTCATTTTGGACAGTTCATTTATGCGTGCCACAAAAAAAAAGTGGGTGAGGGTTTCGTGGATCATAAAAATGGCTTGGCGGATCCCCTAGGAGGTCCGCGGTCCCCCATTTGAGAACCACTGCACTAGACTATAGGAGCGATAAAAAAATATTGCGAATATTTAAGGAATCTTTTACCTAGGAACCACTGCTATCAAATTCTGTGGCAGAAAACAAGTTAGAGTAGATGCAGGATGGCACGGGGTGTGGGCTTTGGAAGGGGAGGGGGGCTGAAAATGGGGCTCTCTCAACCTACACTTGCATTCCTCATCTCCTTCAGTTGCAGTGCAACACGGGTTAGAGATTTCCAAGACAAAATCCTGCAGACACTCATGGAAGAGTGGCGGGAGGGGGGTGTGCGAGCTTGATCATTGGCCCATATTTCAAGTCTCTTGAAAAGGGGATGGGGCGCTTGTTCGGGCGGAGGGGTTCACAGCACGTTTTGGGTCTTCAGAAAGGGCCTTCAGCAGCGATCACATTGTGAATGAAGCTATTGATGGCACAAATTGCAGCTTTTACACTGCTCAATCGCAAAATAGGTACTGGATTTATGTAATCATCAAGAAAATGAAAGTGCACTGACATAATAGACCTTATTTAATTTGACATTGGGTAAATTAGGACGTTTTTCCCAGTCCCACGATATTCGAATAAATGAGTTTTTACTCCAGCAGAATTTTACACTAATTCTCCTCGTTCTTTTATTCGGTTTTTATTTCTTAAAGGTATATACTCAGAGCTCGATTAAAGAAATTCAATATTTGAACAGTCATACTCATCAGTCACGGAGTCCCTTTTAATTCAGCTGCATGTTCTTGTAAGAATACATAAAGCTAAGTTTGAACCAAGGCACACCACTCATACATTCAACCCCTTGCTACACATTAATTTTCTTCCAACAGTATAAGCCAACTTATTCCAGTCAGATAACTAAAAACGTTCCTGTTGGTTACTGATTAAACTCAGGGGAGAGAAAGGTACCAACTGCAGTAGTGTGACGGTTACACTGCCCCGCTGCTGAGCCAAAAGTCGCGGGTTCGTTTCTGACCACAGCGGTCACATTTCAACAGAGCTGAAGTTTTAGAAGTCTGTGTAGTGTGGATTCATTTTTTAGTTCCTTAGAACATAACAAACAAACAACAAAGCAACTACACCCATGGACAAGTGCAGTCCACAAAATGTCTTTTTGAAATAACATTTGCTCAGGTACCCAATATAATCTACTTGATCTCATTAAAGAACATAATGTACGTACATATAACAATGACCTGTGATAAAAAGCCATAGTTAGCATGTCCAGAGCAACAGAATAAATCAAAGGCACATCTAACAAGCAACTCAGAAGAAAGTGTCATTAAAGGGACACTAAAGAGGAACAGTGACTTGGTTCAGATGAATAAACTACCCTTAAAGAACTCTAATGCCAAACGCTTCACTGTCATAAGCTCATTATTAGCGAAGAAAATTTCAAAATTTTGCATCACAATCTACATGCATGATGTAACAAATATCAAGATGTATTTCTCATTTTTAACAACACTCACCCGTTGAAATTTTCTTAAACTTCATATGCTAAGTCTGTTGCACTCACAGATGACAATATATCTCATTTCTATTGATAGAAGCTAAGTAAGACCGGGCGGATGCAATCAAAATTTATGATGTCATGGCGTTCGATGTGGCGTCCCCACTTGCATTTTCTTTTCACGCATTTCCTCGGGTCACGGGATCAAATCCCGGCAGCTGCATTTCCGATGAAGGCGGAAATGTTGTAGGCCCGTGTACTCAGATTTGGGCGCACGTTAAAGAACCCTAGGTGGTCGAAATTTCCGGAGCCGTCCACTACGGCGTCTCTCATAATCATATCGTAGTTTTGGGACGTTAAACCTCACAAATCAATCAATTTCACGCGTTTCCTCGCTTAGAAGCATCTTCACACAGTAAGAGTGGTGTTTTTTTTATTATAAAATTGCACTTTACTAATACGCAAAAAATCTTTTAGCTCTTCAGTGTCCCCTTGAAGGGCCAGTAAAAGATCGCGGAATCGAATCGCGGCCATAGCATCCGTATTTTCGATGTAGGCGAAGGTGCCTGAGGCCCGTGTACTCTGATTTAGGTGCACGTTAAAGAATCCCAGGTGGTCCAAATTTCCAGAGCCCTCCACTACGGCGTCTCTCATAAACATATTGACACTTGTCTACATGTGGACGAAAACAATGATGGGGGATTTAGTGGACACGAGGTAGTGGGCCTCTAGCTTCACTCGAGACCGAAGAAGACGATCTTGTGGCTCAGCTGTTGAAAACACGCTGCTTTCGTTGCCTCAAGGTGTACCTGTGTTTTATTCGCGTTGTACCGCGACACTGGTGGAGGTGCTGGGCCGTAACCCTGTCTGATGCTCCACACGCCCGCTGGGAGCCGTTCATCGAGTCCAGAATCATTGTCACCGGTAGCAACTCCGGTGCATCGCTCCAGTCGATGGTTGCGAGGCCTCGCGCCAGAGCTCACTCACTCACCGGAACCTCCTAGGCACCGTACACTTCAACCAATGGCCAACGCAAGCCCACAACAGGTGCCCCAAGGCAGCTTTCCGACGCCCCCATCTTAGGTGACCATCTTTCAACCCCTCGTTCCCGATCGCTTTAGTGGCGGTGCCCATGAAGACATTTAGGACTGGCTTGACAACTACGAGCGTGTTGCCCAGGTTAATCAGTGGTCGGAACAGAAAAAGCTTTCTCGCGTCTATTTCTACCTTGACGACAGTGCTCGTACTTGGTATGAAAATAGAGAAGGCAATCTGTCAGCTTGGCCCGACTTTCGACAGAAGTTCGTCGATACCTTCGCCAATGTCGATAGAAGGGACCCTGCGCAGCAGTTATTGGAGATACGGGTTCAAAAACCCAACGAAACGGTTGCAACGTTTGCCGAGGACATGACTCGTCTCTTTCATCGAGCTAACCCGTACATGATGAAAGAGAAAAAGTTGAGTTACCTCATGCGCGGTGTCAAGGCAGAGCTTTTCACCGGGCTACTGCGCAACCCTCCAAGTACCGTGGTTGACTTCATTAAGGAAGCTACGGCTATCGAGCGGGCCCTTCATCAACGCTGCAGGCAATGTGACCGCATGTCCTGCAATGTCATGTCCTGCAATGGTGGTTTTGGGACAGTTAACCCCACATATCAAGGGCCAGTTAACAGGCTCAGACTTTTTTTCACAACCCCCGAAGAAGCTAGTTAAATCGTACAGTACACAGCGGCGATCTGCCAATATTGCAGCATTGCACGCCGCGCAGACCCTCTATTTCGAAAAAAAAAAAAAAAAAAACACGTGCCTGTTTTTCTTGCCTGACCAATCTCCCTCGTATTCATAGTCTGACAAAAGCTTGCCCATGGGCATCGTTACGCACCATTGAGCTTGTCGACTGGTTGTTTTCCCTGGGAAACGGCACCTTGGCCTTGCAGCGATGCAGTTTCGGCCGCGCAGTCCACATTTTAATTTTTCTGTGCTGTCCTCTGCCATTTCGTAGAGCCCAAGACTTCGGAAGAAGCGATATTGCCAGAATAACAGCCTCCGAGATAACGGGGCGTCTCAACACTATATACTGTAAGGAGTAGAGTGATCCTCACTCCGTGTTTCCTGCCTGCACCACAATTAAATGTGCTCATGAGGGGGAAGCTCCGCTTGGTCGTTGGTTCCGCACCGAAGACGTATCATGGACATTGTGCAACATTGCTGAAGTGGGTGGAGTCCTGTCTAGGCCACTACTTTGCGGAAAAGGGTGGCGAGTGGCTGCATCAAAATTTGAAACCAGCTGAAACACATGTTCTAACCCTTGTAACTTTCTTATTTATAGCACGCATTCACAAAAATCTTGCAGCATCATGGTCACGTAGCAAAAGCATGCATTAGTGTTTTCATTATTATTTTGAAACTCAGGGGTTGTTTGCTGGCCCTATGACAGGAGTGAAGTCTCTTCATCTAAAAAGACAATTTAGGATGGCCAATGCACTTCTGTTTTAGTTTTTCTACCTAAAGGTTTCTATGATTTCTCTTACCATTAGATTTCAATGTTTGAACAAAATGTTAGTGCTGCTAGGCTGTTGTTTCTACCCTCATTCCTGACAATGCATGCCCGAATGGATTCCTACAAGAACACGAGACTAAGGGAACTCCTGGCACTGCATGTTAAAGATGGTCGACATTTTCAGTACCCTCCACGACAATGTTCCTCATAATCATTTTCTGACATCAAACCCCATATATTATTAACTCATGAAAGAGCACCAGCTCACAATTGAGTAGATGTAATGAGAAAATTCCAGTATTTCAAACCCTTCACAGAAGAGAAAAAAATGAATGCCTTTTTTTATTATTATTTATCGAAGAATAAAAGCTCCACACCACAGTGCGGCAATGATCGAGTCCCCATGCAGTTCAAGCTAAAAATGTGAACACGCTTGAGCCCTAAACGCAAGAGCTACACACGATTGGTAAACAGTAAGCTCAGAACATCATCCAGGCATTAGACCATTCAAGTTTTCACCCAAATATCATGCAACAAAAAACAGAATGCTCACAGGTTCTGGTGGTTGGCCCCAGCCCTCCTCGGGCTCATCGATTTCAGGTGATATTGGCAGGTACAGCAGTGCGCGTGGGTCTTCGCCTTCCTCATCGCTAATGGGTGATAACAGAAGATTCAATTAGCAGCGCACATGTTGCACAAGTTAAGTAACTAATTAAAATTAGCATTACTTAGGTTCTTTAAAATATAAATCATTAGGGTTGTCTATTACAGAAACAAAAAAGACATGTAAATGGTTGCTTTTGCGTTACTTTGCTTGAAATATTTTTTTCCGTTAGCACGATAACACAAGTTTGCTCATACCAAAGCAAACTACTGTGCCTCGTATGCTAGAGAGAAGGCTGTAAGGTTACGTCAAGGCTAGGAATACAGCTGTGTGCCGGCATCAAAGCTGCCAGCGGCGGCACGCCAGTGTTTTCACCTTCAATGACGGTGTGTCAACAGCCCGGGATCCATCGGATCGGTGGCAGCGTAGCACGGGGAGGGGGTGGTTGGGTCAAGATTCAAGAGTTGGTGGGGATAGCAATTTGTCCCTTTTGAACAAAAATCTGTTTTTCCGAAAGGGCAAAGAGTTTAAGTGACAGCAGCATGTCTTTATGTTATTTATTTACAAGTACTGCTGTTTCAGTTGCCGAGACATAGGAGGTGTAAGTACAAATGTTAAGCACCTTGACTGAGTAAAAAATTTAATGACATTGTCCGGAGGTATTTAGAGGGGTGGGGCTACAAGCAACCCATCCTAGGTGACTGCCTCGAGTCCTTGGACACGGGCGGCTTCCTGGGCATACCAGACTGCCCACAGTTGATCGGCGAGGTCGCGGCTGAGCAGAGCCGCCTCCCATCGTGCCTCGCGGTGTGAGACTGTTGTGTCTACTTGGTTCATAGGAGACTGCTGCATGCTCCCGGTGCACTCCCACAGCATGTGCTGCAGCATTGCTCTTGCTCCACACCCTTAACAGTTGTCGGATGTATAAATGTTTGGGTAACAGAAGCGCAGGATCACTGGGTTCGGGTACCCGTGAGTCTGTAATAGCCTCCAAGCAACCTCCTGTTTCTTGTTTAGTTTTTCGTGTGGTGGTGGATATTTGCATCTGTTCAGTCTGTTGGGTGATGTCTCTGAAAGTTGCCACGCGATCCCCCCACTTCCACTCCCGCACTGTTCTCGATATCTGCGAGACACCGGGGCTGACCGCAGGCACCACAGCTCAGCGTGCAAGGCCTCGCGCCGCGGCGTGGGCAGTCGCATTGTCCGCGAGTGGAGGATCTGTGTGGGCGGGGTTCCATATGAGAAAACAGTCGTTTTTGTTGAAAAAAATTAATTTTAACAAAATACAAGTTCACGTAATTCTTTTTTCCAATTGCTCATAACTGAGTATTCCCCGATACCTATCAATGTCATTAAAAAAATGCACATTCTGCAAAAAGCAAACAACAAAAGAAAATGAAAACAATAATTAATCTAACAGGCACAATAATTAGGGAATGAAATCACAGGGTACGTTGTGCAGAAGATGCAACGACGAATACTGGTGCTAGAACACTTGAACCAGTGTGAACTATCTTTTTATGCACGAGGGTGACATTATTGCAAGAGCACCAATGTTCAAGAGGTGCTGCAGCGACAAAACATGCTCATGCAAAGTAGGTGAGAAACACTGGTCATAGCGAGGAAATATAAGCATTGTTTTTTAAGCATATTCTAACAATGTTATGTCATGTTTGTGGTTAGGTGGCCAAACAAGCAACGCATATTCGAGTCTCGCGAAGCCTCATGCGCTGTCAGCCAGCATTCATTTGTCAAGTTGCTTAACGTGCATCCCAGACACCAAAGTTTTTGGAGAGCTTGTTGCAGATCCTTTCGACATACGTGTGCCATTTCCTTTTCAAATTTCCTGTGGGAGTTACACCAATGTATTTACACTACATAACACATACTATACTTACACCGCCATTAGTATATGTAAAATGAAATGGCTGTTTCTTATTTGAAAAGGTCATGAGTACAGTCTTTTTGAAGTTTGCCATGTTTCACTCCTGTTACAAAATGACGAAGAAAAAAAAAACACAATTCAGGGCATCGTTATCTTGAGTATTAGAGATGGTTATACAGATAATGCAGTCTGCATACATTCTAAGTTTAATTTGGGTATCACCGATGATTTCTTATCCGCCATTTATATCAATATTAAACAAAAGTGGACCATGCACAAAGCCTTCAGGCCCCTTAGTGATGCGATATGTACGTTAGATGACTGCGCGTGGTTCAACGTAACGATATTTCAGCACGACAGCAAGTAATCTGTTATCCAATCAAGCAGCTTGAAGTTTGCAATAAAATTATGAAGAACTTGAAAGTTCAGCAAGGCAAACTATGTCAAAGAACTTCAAATAGTCAATAATTATGACATCAACCTGTTCTCAGTCGTTGAAGGAAAAAGCGACGTGGTGTGTAAATTCAAGCAACTGTGTAGCAACAGTAGAAAAGCTAGCACGAGAGTATACTGCGTGCATTTGAGTATTCTACAATTTATTTGTTACTCCTAAAGTTTAGAGCTGGTGGAAAGAATTTGTTCATTAATGATTGTGGTGTCAGTGTTAATTCTCTCATGGAACTTTTGCTTTTCTACTTGAACTCCACTTTTGTGTCGTGGGGAGGGTCTCTTTATAGACAACGTAAGGGAGTTTGCGTTGGCTCAAGGGTCGCCCCGGTTCTGAGTGACATTTTTCTTGCCAAGATTGACACCATCCTTAGTGCTAAACTTGTGGATTTGGTGCAAACCGCTTTCAGATATGTGGACGACTATTTAATTTTTCTGCTGCCTTCCGTAACTAACAGGAAAAACCCGGCTGAACTTGTATTGAGTGCTTTTAAAACACATGGAGGTGGGCTAGACTTCACTTGCGAAGTTCCCCAACAGGGATCACTGAGGTACTTAGATATTAATATTACAGTGTTTCCAAATCACGTATGCTGGGAATACCAACCGCGAAGTGTTAAACCCTTGTTAAACTATGCCTCCTGCCACACAAAACTGGTCAAGAGGGCTATTGCTTCGTCGGCTGTAAGTGCTGGCTTATCCAAGTCATGCCTACACAAGATGATGGATAGTGTATCATTGCAAATTACCAGACTTCTGTCAGCAGGATTTCCAAAATCTGTAATTTCTTCAGTGTGCGAAGCCTTGTTGCAAAAAAATCAAACAAAAACAAGAAAATGCACGAGGAAATAAGGAGCGAAAAAGAGTTGCAGTCATCCCATACTTCCACAATATATCTCATGGTCTGAAGAAGGTGGGCTCGAGATATGGTGTGGATGTAGTTTTATCAGCTCCATGCAAAGTAAACCAGATTTGCAGAATGACGGATGAGCGACTTAGAGGAATCACCAAAAAAAGTTGGACATGCGCCGTAAAACACATAAATAAATTTGTAGATTGTGCAGTTGGTGTTGTTTACATGATTCCTTTAACGTGCGGTCGTTGTTATATAGGCCAAACTGGGCAGTGCATTAATAAAAGGTTAGGAGAACATATGAATGATATATGTAAAGGAATCAGTTCAAACCTTGTTTTGCACTGCAAGAGCTACGGGTGCCAGCCTCGATTTCCGGGCGTGAGTGTGCTGGCACGCCACATGGACAAGTTAACTCGGGAAATAGCTGAAGCGTATTTTATTAGAAAAAATGGTGACGGTTGCGTGAGCCAACCTTCGGTGGCCTTGCATGACAAAGAGTTTGCACTTTTAGATAAGGGTTAGCCATTTTTGTACCTCCTTTTATCAGAATATTTCCCAGAATATGTCACGTTGCTCACGTGTGCTGTTCAAAGGTTGCCTGTTGTATATATTATCATGTGTGCTGCGAATAATAAAATTCAGTTGGTAGTCAGCGCTTGTGTTGTCCTCTTTGCCTTCCATACCACGACTTTCGTCTGTTTTTTCTAGCACATTCGTGCTCGCGCTGCAACCCTTATTATCATGAACTTATATACAGGCACGACAATTGCCAATTTCCACAGCTGGGGAACTGCTACAGAGATTATAAATTTTTCAAATATTACAGTTTGATAGTCAACACATTATTCTGAATACTACTTTAGAAACGTACACGAACTACCACTCAGGTCGGATCGTTCCGAAACCTCAAGATTTAGTATATGGTTATGTACTCCAGAAGAGCTTAATCCACGATTAGAAAGAGCAGGAGTGATCAAATCAAGGAGTGATGCTGTTATCAGTAGAAAAAAAAACTGATTTGAAGTAATTATTAGACACATTCACTATCGCTTCAGGATTTGAGGAGGATTGGCCGGCCATCAAGAACAAACAATGAAAGCATAGACTATGCCGGACTAATCGACTTCTAGTTTTTTTATAAGCATAGAAAAGGCATTGCTGAAGTAGGTGTTCTTAGCCCCTTCATTTTAGCTTCTAATTTACTTTTTAAAATGAAGAAACGGTTTCAACGCTTACACTGGCGGTGGCATTGAAGCTGGCGCTCAGTGCGGTGTTGCAGAAGGAAGAAACCTCGGGAGATGCAAAGCACGCAGTGAGGTGCACGCACTGGAACATGCTAATTGCTGTTAATTGGCAATGAGAGACAGAAGACTGCAACAGGAGACAAAAACCCACAGTCCACCTTTAGTTAACGCCCGCGTTGCGAATTTTATTGTTCAACAAAACACAGAAAAAATCTACCCCCCCCCCCCCCCCCCCAGCACTACCCTGGAGGTCAAAATACAGAATCTATATGCACTCCGAGCACGGCGACTGGCGCGCTGCCTCTCAACAGCTGCTGTCAGAGCAGACGGCCGTTGAGAGCCCAAGCAGAACCAAACCTTCCCCTAACACTTGCTAGCATGTAGTTTATCGGAATCATGAACTGCTGCGTAGTCGATTGCACCACAAGGTACACATCACGTCCTGCCGGAATGAAGCTTTACAGTTGCTCAACTCTTCTCTGCTTTATTGGACAACGAAATAAGTGATTTACGGTTGTGACATGTAAAAAGTGTTTGGTTGCCGCTCCCTCTGCCGCTGCTTGCTTGAATTGTTCTCAGACCCCACCTATGCAGATGCAATGATATTTTGTGATGTTCCTGCCGACATAGAGCTCACGAGAAAAGAAAGTTAAGCAAGGCATTTTAATTAAGCTCATATCTGATGGAATGCTTTATGCTTTTATGGACCTTATTAATTATTAACTCACCATATACCTTCACAGTTTTGGGAAATGCAATGTGAGGTCAATTACTGCTTTGTTGGGCTGATAGGACCATCAGTCAAGGGGTGAACTGTGTTACGCAGCGTATTACTGTAAACACAACTAGCCACCCAGCAGCGTTATGCGAACGCGGTGGGATTAAGCTAAGACTTTGATGGGTTGGTTCACCCTTATCAATCTATCAATCAGGTAATAGAGAAATGCTCAGAATACAGCCAACCACTATACATAGCCTTCATTGACTATGAGAAGGCGTTTGATTCAGTAGAAATATCAGCAGTCATGCAGATGCTGCGAAATCAGGGCGTCGATGTAGTATATATAAACATCCTAAAAGAAATCAACAGGGGATCAACTGCTACCATAGTGCTTCATAAAGAATGCAACAGAATACCAATAAAGAAAGGTGTAAGGCTGGGGGACACAATCACCCTAACGCCATTTACCACGTGCTTACAGGAGGTTTTCAGAAACCTAGAATGGGAACAGTTAGGGATAAGAGTTAATGGAGAGTACCTTAGTAACCTGCACTTCGCCGATGACATTGCACTGCTGAGTAACTCAGGAAACGAATCGCAACTCATGATTATGGAGTTAGACAAGAAGAGCAGAAAGGTGGGTTTTAAAATTAATCTGCAGAAAACGAAAGTAATGTACAACAACCTCGTAAGAGAGCAGAACTTCGAGATACATAATGGTGCATTTCAAGTTGTAAAAGAATATGTCTACTTAGGGCAGGTAATAACCGCGGAGCCGAACCACGAGATTGAAATAACTAGAAGAATAAGAATGGGATGGAGCACATTTGGCAAGCACTCTCAAATTATGATAGGTAGATTGCCACCACCCCTCCATAGGAAGGTATATAACAGCTGTATTTTGCCGGTATTTAGCTATGGAGCAGAAACCTGGAGACTTACAAAGAGGGTTCAGCTTAAATTGAGGACGACGCAGCGAGCAATGAAAAGAAAAATGGTAGGTGTAACCTTAAGAGACAAGAAGAGAGCAGAGTGGATCAGGGAACAAACGGTGGTTAAGAGATATCAGTTGAAATCAAGAAGAGGAAATGGACATGGGCTGGGCATGTAGCACGTAGACAGGATAACCGCTGGTCATTAAGGGTAACTAACTGGATTCCCGGAGAAAGCAAGCGGGTTAGGGGGAGACAGAAGGTTAGGTGGGCAGATGAGATTAAGAAGTTCCCGGGTATAAATTGGCAGCAGCAAGCACAGGACTGAGTTAACTGGCTGATCATGGGAGAGGCCTTTGTCCTGCAGTGGACGTAGCCAGGCTGATGATGATGATGATGATGACCCTTATTAAACTGGCGCAACCTACCACGAGGGATTGGCCATGAAATTAGCGGTGCCTTGCAGTTAAGATTGGGATGATGTATGTAATCCCGATGGTTCAGATGATCACGACGACACGTTAAAGGACTGGACTGCTTGCTCACTTCCTGGCAAATTTCGGTTTATTTACACACTGACACTTATTTACAAACAAAGGCCGGGGTGGCCACTTAACCAACCGTACAGTGAGCACTGGCATGTATTATAATCAACGTCGGCGTTACTTGCAGAGCCCTTCGTATACTCCACACATCGACACCAACTTCTCGATGTAGTATCAACCTTGGATCAGAGTCTGCGCTAAGCACGGCCTCTGTCCCCGCTTCCCGATCTCATTCTCAAGCACCAAGCTCCCCTTCTCTCCAGTTCTCTTCATTAAATACCAGCCTCGTGGGGCGCCTCGTGGGACAAACCCCTACTCGATGCTCCACCAAATGAAGCAAACAACTGCCCTTTCCTCAGAGATGGGTCTCCGCCTCTGCGTTCCCACACTTTGCTATCCTCCGAGCATCGGCTAAGAAGAAATCCGTCATTTCTACGACGTAGAGCTTAAATGATACTTTCATGCGAAAACAATCCTGACTAGACGGCCGGTCGGCTGTCTGGAGTTAGTAGACACGATTCTGCCGTATATCCACACGTATTGTTACAGCATGGCGCCACATTATCTTGTCGGGAGCCGTGTCGCGACAGCGACCACTTATTTCTCAGTCTGGCTTACCATGAGAGGGCTACTGCCGTGCGGGTGACACCCCAGCACAAGGTGTGGTGAACAAAGACTCATGGGGTTCGACGACAAAATGCATTCCGAAAAGAACGGCTTAGTCCACGTCTGGGCAGCCTCTTTTCATCAACTTCCCTTTTTGTCAGGCGCCGTTTACCGACTGGCCACCTTCGCCTGCCCCAAACACAACTCTTGCTATATAAAGGAATTTGTTGCTAACCTAAAAATGCTCAATAATAAATCATTTTCGAAAGAAGTAATTAGCCTAATTCACACAAAAAGAACACTAATGTTGTTGAAGAATGGGCTTTATTTAAATAACCTTAGCATTTGATTCGTTTCGTCTCGCATAGTAAATTGCATTCGTCATCGCAAACACTCCATTAGCTAAAACCTACTGCTGTGCCCCAAAGGAAAGAACCTTTGTAAGTGATAAATTGAATGGCATCCTTCAGAGTGGTTCATCCAGAAGTATTTTTCTTTGATTGGTAAACAATCTGCATGTTAGGAAAAAATGACGCAGAGCAAAGAGTGGCAGAACTACAGAGAGAAAACTAAGCTTTGCTAATGCTGTAGTGATGGGTGTGCGTTTCGCAAAGCAACATAAATAATGCAAGAGGTTGTAGTGAATGAGAGAGACGTCACAAGGGCCGACGTGACAGTGGCCAAAGTGATAGCCACTTCACAAGGTGAAGCAAAAGACAAAACGGGGCTGCGGCGTCCTCTCTGGCCGAAATCGTTGCGCGTTCTATTTCTCGCCCGCGCCTCAAGCTCTTAGCATAGCTGCACAAGCGGTGAGGTAAGGACCATGATCATGATGAGCGACGATGACGGCGCGACAATTTCAAGCAACAAAATTCACCAGACTCGGTGGCTGAAAATCTCTGTGGCACAAAGCCGCAACAAACTAGCACGCCGCCGGCCCCTCGCTACGATTTCTCCAGCAAATGGCCGTGGAGCCACAGTTATTTCTAAGTGCTCTGAGTTTCTTGGAAGTAGGTAGGTAGTTGGCACCCAGCAATATTATTCTAAGTGTAAAAAAATGGCAGCATACCGCAATAGTTATGAAGCAAGCATCTTGAATTAGACACACCTGACTTTCGCAATTGCCGTCGGTATACTGAGGACGGGCAGCAAGGATCTTTCTAACATAGAAAACGTGGTCACTTTCATGAAAGTTTTCCCATTTACTTGTAGTGGTACTACAGAAGAATGTCTCCCAACTCGAAAAACCAATGCGCCGGCCACGGGCACTTTTGCCACCATAGCTGTCAAAGCAATGAGGAGCTGCTGTCTTCTATACAATTCTCAGCGTTGCATGCCTGCTGCACCACAAGTGGAGCTGCGTGCAGCTTTCAAAGCGCCCCCTATAGGTCCCAATCGGTGCGTAGTATATGTGGTGGCCAGTGAAAAGTTGTGCAGCATGAGCAGTCAATGTTTTCCATCAAGAAATACGCTAGGAGACGCTGCCTGTGTTCACGTTACGAGGCGAGACGGGGGAGAGCACAGGAGAGGAGGGGCCACGCATGCACAATGGTGGTGTAAACACTGTGGGGAAGAATGCTTAGAGGAGAGAGAGGTGGAAGCAAGCGTAGACTAGCAGACGCTGCTTGTGATGGCGTTGCGAGGCGAGATGGGGGAGTGCAGGAGAGGAGGAGGAGGGGGCGCGCATGCACAATGAAGGTGTAAACGCCACGAGGATCCACGAGAATCTGGATGCCTAGAGGAGAGAGAGGCGGAAGCGAGCGTAGTCTAGCAGACGCTGGTTGTGTCGTTGTTGTGAGGCGACAGAGGGGGAGGAGACGCGCATGCGTAGTAAGCGTGGTCACTCAGCAGACCGGATTGAGATTGACCATAAAAGCATCGCATTAAAAAAAAAAAAAGTCCACCACAAACGAGCAACACAAGAAGCACAGTGCAGCATGCAGACTTTACTGTCAATTAACTTGTGGATGAAGTAAGCCCACTACAATGCACGCCAAGTGTAATAGGCTAGCTTGGCTTGGCTCGCTTGTGATCCGCATGGTTGCTCTGACAATGTTGCAATCTTGGAGGTAGCGCCTAACCTCATCAGCCATTCAGGTGACCATTTAGCCATACAGCGATTCAGCCATCAGCACTTGCAGGTGACCACTTTGCATAAAGCAGACACGGTACTCATTCCTCACCCAGACACGCTAGCAATGACTCCGGAACACATGTGTCAATACTATTACTATCTGAATGCTCACTGTACTACTAAGTGTCTCACATTGAGTGTTGGCCAAAGGGCCTGAAGAAATCATGCAGCAGGAATGTGCCCGCTCAAGCACTTCGCAGTGTCGACAACTGCGTCTAAGCTTCTTGTGACCTTTTGGACAACTAGTTGAACTAATAAAATCCACTTCCAAGGTTATTTTGCCAAGTACATAATTAACAGTGGACAGCACTCCTTGTAGTAGCGCTAACACTGCCTGACTCCTTACCTGCTGCAAAATGCAACTATGGGCTCAACTGTCTCAACATCAACTTCTCCATCCTCTTCTTCTTTCTCTGTATGCTGAGGAGGGCTCGCATCTTCGTCTTCCAAATCAAACTCACTCTCACGCTCTTCATACTCCACATTTTCATCCAGTTCCTTGAAGTCAGGGGCGAATGCACTCCAGTTTTCCTATGTATTTGAAAGAAATTGTGCAGTTTTAGAAAACAGAAACCATGCTACAATTACGAGGTATGTTACAAAGCTAGACTCGGAATGAATTCTGATATGTTATATTTACCTATAACTGGGATCTTTAATACCGTTGTCACACGCGCACATTTAATCGTGATCAGGGTGATCTGGATCAGTTTTCTCGATCGCGATCAACATTATGACCGCTGCTACACGGCCCAAGCTAATCCAGTTTGAGCTTGAGTGAGATGAAATGCCCCAGGTGGCATTTGTGTGCCGTGAAACATGCCACTGAAACAACTCAGTGAACGGTATATTTATAGAGCCCTTTATCAGCAATGTTAATCGTATAAAAACCGCTCAAATGTCAAGAACTTTGCATACTGCCAAAATAGTAATTTCATAAATCCATCATTCGATAAAATTTTCATTTTCCTAGCCCTTACCTGTATTGCTGTGTGAGATTCTTAACCTTCGCTTTTACTTCTGATGGCCCCCGCCTATAGCCGTGTAGTGGCAGCGAAGCGTCAATCTCATTGTACGTGCCAGTTTTTCACTTCTGGCACCTCAAGTCTCTTCCAGTCGCTCCTGCCAGCGGTCAATTACTGTAAAGGTCTCTCCATTCGACCATGAAGTGCGTGTAGGTTGCGGCATAGTCGAAAAGCTTGCGACACTCATAATCAGTTTGCTTTGAGATGCCCCAACAGCTCTGTCGGGGCAAGAGTCGAACAAAGTGCTGAAGGCAACGGTCGACTGCTTGTTGTCTGCTTTTCCCATAACTAGATGCAGTCGGTGTGAATCCTAAAATATGCAATACTTCAGATATTGTTCCAATTTAAACAGTTTAAAATTTGTTTTTTTATAAACATCTAGTTGTTTTAAAGTATTGTTATTGAACTATGCTCGATTTTCTTGTTTATTGTGCTTTACTCAACACCTCGCTAGAAAAAAAATAATAAAAACGTCTGCGCAGCATACCCAGACGTGGTGATGATAATCTTGATAAGCTAGACAAAAATGTGGGTGCGATATAAAAAATCACGAAAATTCAGGTACCGTCCTAAATATATGAGACAAAGTGCATTCTGCAACAAATGGGTGTGGCCCTACTATATCTCAACAGGATAGAAAGCCGGGCTATTTGGTAGTTAATATTTGTTCAGCGAACTGGGAACACACAACAGACGGAGAAACAACCGTGCAGCAGCACGAGCTGTGTGACTCTTCTCTGTCTGTTGTGTGTTCTCGCACTCCCAGTTCGCTGAACAAATATGAACCAACTGTACCTACAGTATGGGTTTTATTAACTTCTTTAACTGGGCACACAAGTCCACATGCACAGTACACGCACAGGAGTTCTTGCAATTAGTCCCACCAATATGTGACCGCTGTGGCTAGAAATCAAACCTGTGGCATCCGACTCATCTAAACAATGCCAAGACCACCATGCTATTGTGACTGGTCTTCTTGAACAAAGATCAACACAAGTAGGACTTAACTGTGATAATGTCATTATTAAATCAACTAAAAGTAGCTTAACTTCACCATCAAGCTGAGCAAATGACTGTGTTTATAGTGGAAGCTCTTTCTATTAATGAAAACCAACAGTACGAACCACTTGTGGCTGGGCCCAAATAGACACCACTCCACTAGATATGGATGCTATGATGGGACGTACTGGGTGCCACTGCAAGACGTAAAATATTGTTAGCACATTAGAATTGCAACTTTGTTGTTTTCTGGTGTCAACACAAATTCTGCTGTAGTAATACCAATAATTATAACACTGTGTGTCACCTTCGTTAAATTCATTAACGAGTGCATCAGGAATCATCAGAACTTCATCAGTGCATCAGGAATCATCAGGAATCATCAGAGGTCCAGAGTGAACGAAGCTTTCCTCTCACAAACAAGCCGCATTGCGCGCAGCAGTCAATTGCAAACTCGTATCATCCGTGTTGACCGGAAAAATCATTCGTATAGTAGCACCGAATCACGGTGTATTTGATATAATGCAGTCCATCCAAAGCAACCTTAAAATTAGTCACAAAATTCGCATAAACTGTAATTGTATCATCGAGATTATACTATAGTATGGACTGAGGATTCTAAGAAATCTCACATTACAATATTTATGTCTATTAAAATGTTTTATATGCACTTTCTTGATAGTTATTTTGATTCTACAGTTAAGATATAGCAATATGAGTCATTAATGCCTCAGAATCATAAAAGTTTGGTGGCACAAATTGATTGTCTAACAAGAGCTATACTTTACACATTGTCTTGGCATAAAACGAAAACTGTGCAACTTAAGGGGAGATGTGGGTCGAAAAACGCGAGTTTTTTTCAAAATTACCTATTTTTATTTTTGCCTGTTTTGATAAGATTAGTACCTCTACTGTTATGAAAAAAAAAAAAAAATACAGGTCGAGACTTAACTGGAAATGCTTTAAATTGCATCTAAAGAGCACAAGGCGCCTGTAAAAAGGTCCAAAGCGTGCAGTCTTCGAGCACCTTGCCGCCGATAAAGCGCCGCCACTCGCCATTGTTGATCGCATTAGCCGAAGAGTCGAGCCTCACTCTTCAAGCAACAAGTTTCCCTCGCTGATGCGGCACAAGAAATAATAAAAGAAGCACGCTTCTGCGTGTTTTTCGAGCGCTGCGACTGGCTTATCACGTGGTACGGATCGAGGACCTCCATTGGCCACTGCGCGCCTGTATGTGCTGTGAAACCTATTTGCGGGGTCCATGTCTTGTCGAGCAGCGCAGCTGAACATTGCTTTTCTCATGTAATTATTTCCATTATGAAGGAAAAAAGCATTGCTCGCAAGTGAAAGTCGTTGTGCGGCTTTCACTTGCGACCAATGCATCAAAATCAAACCATCTTGCGATCAATGCCAAACTTGCGATCAATGCATCAAAATCAAGACCAATGCATCAAAAGTCATTCACACTTGTCAGCCGGAAAGTTCGTGATGGGGCAGTGGATCACGTCAGCACCAATCTTGCGAGGTTGAAAGAGCTTGCAGTGAAAGAACTTAGCAGGGACGACATTGCCATTATGCACGACAGTATGTGGCACAAACATGGCTGCAAAATGGCATGACACTGCGCTTAGTTTGCATTTTGCAGTCCTGTCGAACTTCTTCCTAGCTTGCAGTTGGCACAAGGCTCTGCCAGATGGAGCGGAAGTTTGGCAAGCGTTTCATGGCCCTGTCTGTAAGCGAAATGTCTGTGAGGAGTCGGCTCGAAAAAGCCGAGAGGGACAAACTCATGGGGCTGGCGTATTTTAGTCACAGTTGCCCCTACAAGAAGGGTTGTTCTTTTTGGTGTGCAAATTTCATCAGATTTAATGATATCTTCCATAAATGAAAACTTAGTTTTAACTTTAAAACTTGTAAACACAAATTTTGCCATTTTTTTCAATGTGCCCCTCCTTTTTCGGGCACTTATAGTGCTCGGATCTGCATGAAATTTCGCCTAAATTTTTTCCAAAGTTTGGCAAATGCAATTATCTAGTTTAAATTTCAATACTTTATTGCATTAAAAAAATTCTATGTAAACCTTTCCTATGGTAGGTGAAATATGAACTTTTTACGTCTATTATTTTCCACGCCTATTACATATTTTGTATGTGCTTCCTAATTAGTTATTTGCATTCTACACTTTTTTTCAAAGATTATGAACTATAAATCGTAAAAAATTACGGAACTTCAGGAATGAAAAGAGGGGGGTAAAAGGGTTAAGGTTTGCAATTTGTCATTTCGCAGAGCTAAAAGTAAGCAACTTGCAAGAAAAGTATTTATATATTTGAAATCAGCAAAAAAAGTTCCATAAACAGCTCAAGTTTCATCGCTCTAGGGTGAATATTAAAAAAAAAAAAAGTATCTTCGAGTAGCATTTCCCCTTACTACAAAACTAACTACATATTTGAAATCAGCATAAAAGCCTATATCAATAAAGGAAAAAAAAGACTGTTTTAAATGGCACCTCCTCTCAAGAGTGTTTTAGAACGGGCTCTATGAAGGCCATTACATCAGCTTTGATGTGCATTCCATGCAGGCCTGGCATTTTTTTTTTTTCTCCGCATATTTTATTGGCACCATCATAACTTTCTCTTTCAGTATATGGATGGAAACATTTGGCGTGGGAAGTCCAGAAAAACTGCCCAATAGCATTGGTGATGTTTCAACGAGCTCAGCTAATACACACCGGTACAGTGTCAACTAAGTGAATTGACATATACTATGAGTTGCTCACCACAACGTCAAGCAGCAGTTCACCCTTGGTACCATGCAGGATCTTGACCAAGTTTCCAATGCTCTTCTCCCAGATGTACAGAGCATGCTGCCTGGCAGACCCAGCACAAATGTATTCCCCGTCACCCGAAAAGCAGCACTTCTTCCACATGGTTCTGGAAGAGAATTTTCTGCTTTACGCCAAGAATGGCCACAGCTAGCAGCTGTATCACAGAGATGAAGAGCATGTAACCGCCCACAAGTGCTCTTGATAGTTTACATTTGTTCATTGTAAATGTTCTGGTGGTACTGTGCTATGGTAGTTAATGTTTGCTCATCAAAGCAACAGCATCACTTTGCACGTCGTGTCATCCCTCTGTATTAAAAGAACTGTGGCAAGAAAATGGCACCATTTTCATGACTGTGCATGTGGCTATAACAAAACCGAAAGTTGCAAAACCGGGTCTTGAACAAAAGAGCATTGTGAATGAGGTTGTTTGAAAACTGAACGTTAGGTGATTGGTCAGATAGTGAAGTCCCTGACATTGTGACAGGCAGAGTGAGCAGCTGCAAAGCGGACACAGCAAGGTTTCTGGCGTACACAAGAGAGCTGTAGTGTCACTGATATAAAGTACTAATGCTGGCTCGTTGGTACATACTGAACTTCAGACAAACAGCACTACCAGGAGACAAAGAAAGAAGGTACAGGACTAAGCGCTGACTGAGAACCTCGAGTTTTTATTTCACCTTTTCACTCTGAAATCGTTAAATTCAACCTTGAAGGGTTGAATTTAACACAGTCCTCTGATAAACATCTCAGGTTCCTCGACCTACAGTTGACCCTCCACCTCGAACACCTCTGCTGGAAGCACTCGCCCCGCTGAAAAAAGAACCTTTTGCCGTTTTTGTCAGCCCATTCAAAGGTCGTGAAAAGGGACATCACTATGTCAGTGCTCCAAAACGCCCAAAACTGATCCTGCTCACATCGAATGAGCGATAGTTTTTCTGTGCAACTTGATAGATTGACCACGGCCAGTTTTCTGCCCCTATGCTGTACAGTGTGTATAAAGTGCTTCTATAAGAAATTTACACGCGAAGGCCTGTGAATGGCCACGATGTTATTCAAGAAAAGAATATGGCTATCATCCTGTACATTCATGGTGCATCCTAAAAAGATTGCAGTTCGAGTAGTGATATCAGTCGTGTTCAGCACACTGAATAAAGTGAGTAGATTGAGCAGAAAAGTGAACGTGCAAAAAGCTGTTACAGTATAGACCGCTTACAATGTAAGTTGCGGGAGTCGCAAATATCCACGCTATTGCACTATAACCAAAACAACTTTTTTCAAGGGCCGCACTAGCGCGAAACGTGTTGAGCATGCAGCTTTGCGTGTCCGGAAATCGAAACATGCGATGCGCGCTTGCTAACATTTAAATTTCTGAATGTTAAAGGAATTTAACATCCAAAAACACACGTTGCCAATGAAACGAACACGAACGGGGGAACGGGGGGGGGGGGGGGGGGGGGGTCCAAAAAACGAAAACACCATCGCGAAAATTCGCCGACTACCAGACCGCCTCGATTATGTGCATTACACAGAAACTATGTCGAATCCCGTATAGAATTTTACTCGGTGAAAGACCAACCATTCGATTTCACAGTTGTGCACCCAATTTAAGACATCGCAACCAAATTGTGAACCACTATCTGAGCGCTACATGCGCCGCCCTCATTTTCATTAACGATATGTACCTTTGTGTGTGGTAGTACGCTGTAGCCACGTCGGAGCCAGTGCAAAGGCTTATCGGTCACTGAGGCAACCGTCCCCCTCCTTTATTCGGCGAGCCCGCAAAGTTCTCGCGGTCTTTTTTTATTTTGTTTCTCTTCCCTCCGCCCTTTGTTAGTTCACTCCGTGTCCCCTCCACCTCAGTAACGACCTCGTTCGCTCCCCAGTAGCGCACCCAGCGCGGGGCGCCTCCTTTCAGAAGCGCACTCGCTACCGTGTTTGTCACAATTTTCGGCAACTGCATTATAATCGGTCTTTTATCTTGGGGGACTGCACAATAAACGGTATGCGTGTACAAGGGATTCTATGGGAGGGTAAACGGGAGTAGAAAAAGACAGCATTGTAAGCGATTCTGCACTATAAGCGGTTATGTTATAAGTGGTCTACACTGTATTAACTCTTGTTCCAAAAAGCATGCATGATGGTTTGTTGAATGACAATCGGGTGTAGTAATTTATATTATATAGTACTACTACTTTGTGAAAAATCGTACACTGGGCAAACGTGTCGTTGCCTAAATGATTGGTTGCAAGAACCTACATGCACACCGAAGAACGGGATGGGCAGTAACCTTGTCCTACATTGCACAAAATGTGGGCGCATACCACGCTTCGACAAAACCAAAATACTAAGAAGACCAGACCACCAGGGTGATTTACGAGGCTCACATGACCAACCCACAAAATGAATCATCTGTTAGGATGGCATCCATAGACCTGCTCATGTAATCTTCGCTTATGTTCTAATAAGAGAGCTGTTATCACAACTTGTTGTTAATCTTCTTTTTTCAAGAGTATATATTATCCACTGCAGCGAAATAAAAATTCATAGTTTCAGTTACTAGTTAGGGCTTGTTCCTGTCCCTTCCTTAATGTCCCGTTGTAGCGCTGTACATATTCCACTGCAGCGAAATAAAAATTCATAGTTGTCAGTTACTAGTTAGGGCTTGTTCCTGTCCTTTCCTTAATGTCCCGTTGTAGCGCTGTACATATTCTACCGCAGCGAAATAAAAATTCATAGTTGTCAGTTACTAGTTAGGGCTTCTTCCTGTCCCTTCCTTCATGTCCCTTGTAGCGCTGTTTAGCCAAAGTTCTGTATAGTCACCCCACTCACACTTTTTTAAACTGATGAAAGGCACAAGAAGCTCAGCAATCCATACGACATGATCCACTAGACTCGGGAGAACACCAGCTACGAGCTCAACAATGTTTCACTGCAACTCATCAACGTTACTCAGCAACAAATGCTTTCTGCACATTAAGTCATAGGTGCCCCCATATTTTTTTAATGTATTAACTACAATGCTACCAAAACAACTACAATGATGAGCTGGAAGCTATTTATAAAAAAACAGTAACAAGATCGTTTCACAGAAATTGCAGCATTGGTGTCGGCGGAGTTTTTGGTTGCGAGCGAAGGAAGATGCAAATAAAAAAATGATAAAATTTTCAATCCGAGTAGCACTTGAGATTTGGCTGAGTGACCCCCACCGTGCCACAATGCCGTGGTACAATGCACTTAGCCACTCAGCCACTACACAAACATACTCTAGCATAGTAATAGTGAGCCATTTACTATATCGACCATTTAGTGTTGGTATACTCGACGACAGGTTTTCTTGGCATTGGAGCAAAGGCTACGAAGCCAAATTGCACGAATCTTACCGCAGGTGAATGTAGTTCCACAATAACGCTCATATTATGAATGTGAAACATTACAATTCCTCTTTTATTTTCTACGTGGAGCTATTCGAGATAGGACGCAGCTCACACCATTAAGATAATTACTAATTCTTTTAATTTATTCGTTGTGACTTCATGTTTTTGAACGCGTGAGAAAGCCCTGCCTTTTTATGTGCCTTTTTATGTGCACCTCAATCGCTAAGCGGCATCTGCGTCTTCATGAAACACTGATGGTGCACGTCCGCCACTTTTCATAGCATTACAAGACGCGCCCCAGAACGGACTACTTTGCGTATTGCCACATGTGCAGAAGCTTCGCCTCCGTAGCTTTTCCTTCAGTGCCAACAAAAGTTGTCACTGAGTATGGTATGCACATCTTGGAGGTTTTTCAGCAGCTTGACACAACACCCGCAAGATGGTGCAAAGAGCGAATGGCCGTGCTTTTAAATGGCATCCCTTTGCCGTCTGGTCTTGCGGACGAGTTCTGTCGTGTTGCATGCATCGATAACGGATGACTCTGCACTTGGGCTTTCCTTTCGGCATGGTTTAGATCGTCACTGCAAAGGCGAAAGATTGGGAAGGCAATATGAACACCGTTTGATTACGCTATCGCATTTTGCTCTTGAAAGCAAAGCTCAAGCGTCCTCCAAGCTTTAATTACACCTTTTACATAAATGCAGCAAAACGTGCCTGCCGTAATTTGACTGGCTATCCCCAGATAACACTGTATTAGCAGATATTTCAACAGTAGCAAAAAGCTTTGCACTAATGACAGCCATTGCAACTTGATAGGCAGTGTTCAAGCTAGTTGTGTCTTTTACTGTGCACAAATATTATATGTAACTATGTTAAATATGCTCAACTTAATCAATAAGGTGTCGATGCGAAACTGTCGAGCACGCCTAGAAGTTATTGGTAGCGAGATTTTAAGTAACGTAGACCATGTGGTCTTTTTCTCAACAGAAAAAGAAGGCTAGTTGAAAATCACATGAAGAACAAATGAACACCAGATGACAATGTACTCTTACGTTAGCAACAGCAGCTGTATGAATACAAGAACCTCAATATATAGTGTGCTGTGAATCTTTGAGAGCATTAGCACGTTGCACGTAGTTAAAATAGAATCAGCGTGCTGCGTGCAGAGCTTTCGTTGCCTTCTGTGCATACACAATTTGATGCTATGTTTCAGTTGAAATGAGGTTCCTTGATGAGATTAACAAATACAATGAGGTAATAATGAAGAAGGAAGGCACAGCAAGGCTCGCTAAGACCGCACAGGCCCTCACGCTATCACAGCAGCATTCCTTTGTCATCTTCTTGCACAGGCTGGTGCATCTGCACCACGACAATATTCCCAGGGTAAGTGTAGCCATCTTGGCAACTCAGGGACTAGGTATAAAGACTTGCTCGTAGTACGGCTTTAGGCGGTCAACGTGCATGGTCTCGCATTGTGGACGGCACAAGTCTGACGATGGTGTGAGGAGCTCGACAATGTAGTTCAGCAGCGAGGTGGTGTCAAATGACACGGTATGGACCATGGTAACAAACCAGAAGTTCAGAAGAGAGGCCACGGATAGGGGCGGGTAGTCAAACAAGGGGGAAATGTATGAGCTGGGTGATGAATGACATCATGCCGTGTCTTTGTAGACCTTTAGCTTTAGTTGTCAGCGAACAAAGCAACTCATGGCAGTTTCCGCCGTGTTGTGCA